ACTTGTTACGTCGATCTCGTTTTCTTTATACTTGTTATGTCGATCTCGTTTCCTTTATACTTGTTGTTATGTCGATCTCGTTTCCTTTATACTTGTTGTTGTATGAATCTCGTTTTCTTTCTACATCTTATGTCAAAGTTTATCAAATTCATGAAATTTCGTTTTCAATTTTAGTAATCGGGCACATAAAATGTGTAGTGCAATATCTCCGATGCATCTTAAGTTTTATTCTGATAAATATCTTGATAGGTGTTAAGCAGGTATAACGGTGTTCTAATATGACTAATGGGTTAATTAATACATGGCCTATGATCAATATTCCGGACCAGGAACGGTTCTCTATGTTATTGTACCATCTGTCTGTACTACTGAAACTCGATCCGGATATACAGCTCCATGAATGTACTCATTAATACAAAATTTTCACTAGTCCATGAGATAGACATCGGAACAAGGTCTGTGCAATTGACACATCTTGTACACAACCCGAAACGCAAGCTCGTGCTGTGTTTCTAATTAGCATCACGTGACCTCTGGGCTCAGTCAAGAGTTCATGTAGTATATTAATTAAGATATGTGTTATGTCCGGTCACCTTTCCAAGGAAAAATACACTGAAGTAGAAGCTCTAGGATGATCAGCTGTTAACTGATTTGGGTTATGATATCCTAGGCAGACCGTCTTCTGTATCCCGTGTTGTGTATCAGGGTATACTGTATATATAGTGGTATCTCGTGTTGTGTATCAGTGTATACTGTATATAGTGGTATATCGTGTTGTGTATCAGTGTATACTGTATATAGTGGTATATCGTGTTGTGTATCAGTGTATACTGTATATAGTGGTATCTCGTGCTGTGTATCAGTGTATACTGTATATATAGCGGTATCTCGTGCTGTGTATCAGTGTATACTGTATATAGTGGTATCCCGTGTTGTGTATCAGTGTATACTGTATATATAGTGGTATATCGTGTTGTGTATCAGTGTATACTGTATATATAGTGTATACTGTATATATATCCCGTGTTGTGTATGTATACTGTATATATATCGTGTTGTGTATCAGTGTATACTGTATATAGTGGTATATCGTGTTGTGTATCAGTGTATCCTGTATATATAGTGGTATCTCGTGTTGTGTATCAATGTATACTGTATATATAGTGGTATATCGTGTTGTGTATCAATGTATACTGTATATAGTGGTATATCGTGTTGTGTATCAGTGTATACTGTATATAGTGGTATCCCGTGTTGTGTATCAGTGTATACTGTATATAGTGGTATCCCGTGTTGTGTATCAGTGTATACTGTATATAGTGGTATCCCGTGTTGTGTATACGTGTATACTGTATATAGTGGTATCTCGTGTTGTGTATCAGTGTATACTGTATATATAGTGGTATCTCGTGTTGTGTATCAGTGTATACTGTATATATAGTGGTATCTCGTGTTGTGTATCAGTGTATACTGTATATATAGTGGTATCTCGTGTTGTGTATCAGTGTATACTGTATATAGTGGTATCTCGTGTTGTGTATCAGTGTATACTGTATATAGTGGTATCCCGTGTTGTGTATCAGTGTATACTGTATATATAGTGGTATCCCGTGCTGTGTATCAGGGTATACTGTATATAGTGGTATCCCGTTTTGTGTATCAGTGTATACTGTATATAGTGGTATCTCGTGTTGTGTATCAGTGTATCCTGTATATATAGTGGTATCTCGTGTTGTGTATCAGTGTATACTGTATATAGTGGTATCTCGTGTTGTGTATCAGGGTATACTGTATATATATATCTCGTGTTGTGTGGTAAATCGTGTTGTGTATAGTGTATACTGTATATATAGGGTATCGTGTTGTGTATCAGTGTATACTGTATATAGTGGTATATCGTGTTGTGTATCAGTGTATACTGTATATAGTGGTATCTCGTGTTGTGTATCAGTGTATACTGTATATATAGTGGTATCAGTGTATCCTGTATATATAGTGGTATCTCGTGTTGTGTATCAGTGTATACTGTATATATAGTGGTATCTCGTGTTGTGTATCAATGTATACTGTATATATAGTGGTATATCGTGTTGTGTATCAATGTATACTGTATATATAGTGGTATCACGTGTTGTGTATCAGGGTATACTGTATATAGTGGTATCCCGTGTTGTGTATCAGTGTATACTGTATATAGTGGTATCCCGTGTTGTGTATCAGTGTATACTGTATATATAGTGGTATATCGTGTTGTGTATCAGTGTATACTGTATATAGTGGTATCCCGTTTTGTGTATCAGTGTATACTGTATATAGTGGTATCTCGTGTTGTGTATCAGTGTATACTGTATATATAGTGGTATCCCGTGTTGTGTATCAGTGTATACTGTATATATAGTGGTATATCGTATTGTGTATACGTGTATACTGTATATATAGTGGTATATCGTATTGTGTATCAGTGTATACTGTATATATAGTGGTATCTCGTGTTGTGTATCAGTGTATACTGTATATATAATGGTATATCGTGTTGTGTATCAGTGTATACTATATATAGTGGTATCCGTGTTGTGTATCAGTGTATACTGTATATATAGTGGTATCCCGTGTTGTGTATCAGTGTATCCTGTATATATAGTGGTATATCAGTGTGTGTATATATGTATCGTGTTGTGTATCTGTATATATATATAGTGGTATCCCGTGTTGTGTATCCCGTGTTGTGTATCAGTGTATACTGTATATATAGTGGTATCCCGTGTTGTGTATCAGGGTATCCTGTATATATAGTGGTATATCGTGTTGTGTATCAGTGTATACTGTATATAGTGGTATCCCGTGTTGTGTATCAGTGTATACTGTATATATAGTGGTATACCATGTTGTGTATCAGTGTATCCTGTATATAGTGGTATATCGTGTTGTGTATCAGTGTATACTGTATATAGTGGTATATCGTGTTGTGTATCAGGGTATCCTGTATATATAGTGGTAAATCGTGTTGTGTATCAGGGTATACTGTATATAGTGGTATATCGTGTTGTGTATCAGTGTATACTGTATATAGTAGTATATCGTGTTGTGTATCAGTGTATACTGTATATAGTGGTATCTCGTGTTGTGTATCAGTGTATACTGTATATATAGTGGTATCCCGTGTTGTGTATCAGGGTATCCTGTATATATAGTGGTATATCGTGTTGTGTATCAGTGTATACTGTATATATAGTGGTATATCGTGTTGTGTATCAGGGTATCCTGTATATAGTGGTATCTCGTGTTGTGTATCAGTGTATACTGTATATATAGTGGTATCCCGTGTTGTGTATCAGTGTATACTGTATATATAGTGTATATAGTGATATATCGTGTTGTATCAGTGTATCCCGTGTTGTGTATCTGTATATATAGTGGTATCCCGTGTTGTGTATCCTGTATATATATAGTGGTATCCGTGTTGTGTATCGTGTTGTGTATCGTGTTGTGTAAGTGTATACTGTATATATAGTGGTATCACGTGTTGTGTATCAATGTATACTGTATATATAGTGGTATCACGTGTTGTGTATCAGGGTATACTGTATATAGTAGTATATCGTGTTGTGTATCAGTGTATACTGTATATAGTGGTATATCGTGTTGTGTATCAGGGTATCCTGTATATATAGTGGTATATCGTATTGTGTATCAGTGTATCCTGTATATATAGTGGTTTCTCGTGTTACGTATCGGATGCTTTAGTTGTATTGCTCTTTATGAATTGATATGTTAATGGATATGTGTTTTTTACGCTGTAGTTAGTATATCTTGCCATTCGCCCTTCCACAATGACACTAATGCTAATTACTTTCTGTTGATATACAGTATATGTAAAGCGACTGAAATGCGTCTTGTCTTGCATACCCGTATTGTTAGTGTTTTCCATAAAGCTTAGAAACATACTGGTATGTGCTGTTTAATGTCTATTCTACAGAACACTTTACCGCAATTTCTCAGAATGGTATGTGACGGGTTTTCCAATTGTTGTTCAGCAAGATAGCCACCAGCTGCTACAAGGGAATCCCGCCTCAAAATGGACTGTTGAAGGTGACATTCATACATACCATATATATGTCTAATGATACATTTTAAATTTAACGTGAATAACGGCTAGTTTCCCATTAGATATCGTATGTATTTCACGGAGGTGACAGAATATCTATATATTTGACTCATATGATATATTCTGTCATACGTGTGAAATTAATACGATATTTCACAGGAAACCGTTACATTTTCCTTTTTATTACATTTGTAAGGAAAGCCAAACGAAGAAAAAGCCCAGCCAAACAGGAAACCAGCGGTGCTAACAAAATGGGGAATTTTAGCGCGCTTTTTTTTAGGTCCAGATGTTTGACGTTACGCTTGGCAACAAGACGACGCCATTTTGTGACCTGGTATAAATCGCCCGCAAAACCTTATTTGTATACCAAATTTAAAAGAAAACAAGAAAGTTATTCAATCTTCACTTCGTTTACAGATAATTTACAGATTTCAATGCATTGACTAGAAAGCACCGCTCTGATTGGTCAAAAGTAAGGAAGTGTAATTGTCGATTGAATTGCATGTATTCAATCTACAGCATTAAGCTGACGTCATTATCACATGAATATCAATGAGTTGAGTAAACCTATTTCTTCACTTAGGGCATGTATGATTTAATTACTTTGATATGGCAGTCGGCAGATGCCATTTTTAATTGTCTTGTCATCACTATAAGTTATTTCGTAATTACAACATACTTATAAGTCATAATTACAGTATTAGGTTATTTTATTTCACGAGTAGATATTTACTCCGCGTCCCTCTCTCTCTCCCCCCCCCCCCCCCCCCCCCCCACATCCCCCCACGGGGATGTAAAAATGTAATTTAGCATGTACGTGCAGTTATATAACGATAAAATGCATGTATGTTTTGATTTAATCATAGTAAATTTATTTTTTCAGAGTAATGGGCACTTAATTTTAAGAATTTTTATTAAAAAATTTCACAAAAATGTGTAACCTAGATTGGAAAGCCTTTACTAACAAAAAAGAGGAAAAAATATTTGCGGCAAGGCGTTGATTTCATTCACGATTCTTTATCATAAATTCTCCAGGCAGGACTTTTTAAATTTTAATTACATGGGTCACATGTACACCTTTCAATACACCCAACAGCATTGAAAGTAATAGTTCAAACTTCATTGTTTCCTGTGTCGCTGTGAACATATCTAGTTTGAAAAAGATAAAATTTATATTTTACGATTTTATACTAGTTTTTTATATGCTATCTGACTATTGTACACCCTTAAGTTTAGCACTGCTAATGGGATCCAAGTCTTTCGTCATCCTGTATGTCATGTGTCCATTTTTTCTTGATGGTGAAACCAGTTCAGAACTTTCACTTCTTAGACGTGTTCTTAAACTCATTCATTTATCAAAATGAATGACAAGACACATGGAATCAAACCATGCAGCTTAAACACCTTATTTGATATCGGAAGCCTTACGACATATGCGAACATCCTTACCACCATGTACCCATTTCTTCAGACTATCATACAACCTGCGTCGGAGCGGAATTGCATGAGCCATGGCGCAAAGTTGACAAAAGGCGCGATCACCTGTCGGTTCAAAATGGAAATATCTTCTCCAATGAAAATAACTTTCGAATGCAGTTTGATTTTTCATTAGCTGTAACTGAAATGTAGCTAAACTTGAAATATTTTTGAACTTTGTGGTATCTAAGCACGAATGCGGAGGAAGAAACACAGAATAGTTCGGGGCTCCTCTGACGACAGGAATGACGTCAGCTTCTGACGAATAAATGTTATAACATTTTTCGGTGACGTAATCACGGCATAGATCATTCTCAAACGCTAGATAAAAATTATATTTCTCACTCAATAATGCATTACAATCTTTGATTGTCCTTGAAGGGCATCGCTTTCCTGATCCGTATCTTGAGTAAATGTCAACGTTGACCGTTTGACGCAAGCTCCTGGCGTATTGGTCTCGCCTGCTCGCTGCGTTTTGATGCGATACAAACCAAGCATTACCAAGGGTTTTTAGCATCCATTTACTGGCTGGATTTTTCCCTGTGTCGTAGACGTCCTTACACAATATTGTACCATACGTATGAGTAAAATCGGCATCTCTTCTGTATGAAAATGTCCAGTTTATTCTGCGATCCCAGTTATCATAACCAGGTTGTCGAGATGGGGGTTCCAAGGAATGATATATCCAGGTTTGACCTACTAACTTCTTCGGAGGTCGTCTAGGAAGGTTTGTTGTTCCATCAAATATAACAAATTGACTTGTGGAATAGTTCTGATAATTTCGTCCAAATGAGATCGAACATTTATGTGAGCAATATTTAAAGGTGTCTTTCGTAGTCCATGGTGGACGATTATAAAAATGGATACGAATCTCCTGTTCTCTGAAAGAGGCATTACTAGGCGTTTTCCATATCCATAAGTACGATGTCACGACTCCAGCGTAAAGCAGGATCACCAGTATTGTAAAGAACACTAGTCTCCAGACGTTTGGGGATAGCCTGCAGGTAAACAAACAGTATAGGAAAGCAACATGACAAGTTAAATCATATTTCAAATACATGAAAAATTGAAAAGGATACTGGAAAGTTTCCCCCTTTTTTGACAATAAATATTAATGAGATGGAAAAAAGGGATATACACTTGATAGACACTCTTAGACAAACTTGCAAACTGACTAGATGAAGGCCTTCATTTATTAATTTCTATTTTCTGATAAACAATTCTAAAATAAATTATAGTTCGTTTCTTTGAGCTCTTATGATTTAAATTTACATATTAAATTATCACACATGTGCCATACCCCCTTAACTTGATCGTGACGAAAGAATGAAAGCACACTCTCTTACTTTTAACAATTGAATCACAGTACAAGAATCGCTGTTGGAGGGAAGTTACTGTTTAAAAATAGGAGAGGGAGGGAGAGTATTGCACATCTAATTTCGGATCTTTTTTTTTATTGTATTCTCACGCATTGAAAAAAATACATGTACTGGAAATGTCATGGTCATGGTCATCGGTAAAGAAAGAGAAATAAAAATAACGTCATTAGGCGACTGGACATACTGAGGCTGAACTGAGGCTACACTGCTGGTAACATAGTCTGTAATGATAGAGATACTGAGGCTGCACTGAGGCTACACTGCCGGTAACATAGTCTGTAATGATAGAGATACTGAGGCTACACTGAGGCTACACTGCTGATAACATAGTCTGTAATGATAGAGATACTGAGGCTGAACTGAGGCTACACTGCTGGTAACATAGTCTGTAATGATAGAGATACTGAGGCTGCACTGAGGCTACACTGCCGGTAACAGTCTGTAATGATAGAGATACTGAGGCTGCACTAAGGCTACACTGCTGATAACATAGTCTGTAATGATAGAGATACTGAGGCTGAACTGAGGCTACACTGCTGGTAACATAGTCTGTAATGATAGAGATACTGAGGCTGCACTGAGGCTACACTGCCGGTAACAGTCTGTAATGATAGAGATACTGAGGCTGCACTGAGGCTACACTGCTGGTAACATAGTCTGTAATGATAGAGATACTGAGGCTACACCGAGGCTACACTGCTGGTAACATAGTCTGTAATGATAGAGATACTGAGGCTACACTGAGGCTACACTGCCGGTAACAGTCTGTAATGATAGAGATACTGAGGCTGCACTGAGGCTACACTGCTGGTAACATAGTCTGTAATGATAGAGATACTGAGGCTACACTGAGGCTACACTGCCGGTAACATAGTCTGTAATGATAGAGATACTGAGGCTACACTGAGGCTACACTGCTGATAACATAGTCTGTAATGATAGAGATACTGAGGCTGAACTGAGGCTACACTGCTGGTAACATAGTCTGTAATGATAGAGATACTGAGGCTGCACTGAGGCTACACTGCCGGTAACATAGTCTGTAATGATAGAGATACTGAGGCTACACTGAGGCTACACTGCTGATAACATAGTCTGTAATGATAGAGATACTGAGGCTGAACTGAGGCTACACTGCTGGTAACATAGTCTGTAATGATAGAGATACTGAGGCTGCACTGAGGCTACACTGCCGGTAACAGTCTGTAATGATAGAGATACTGAGGCTGCACTGAGGCTACACTGCTGGTAACATAGTCTGTAATGATAGAGATACTGAGGCTACACCGAGGCTACACTGCTGGTAACATAGTCTGTAATGATAGAGATACTGAGGCTACACTGAGGCTACACTGCCGGTAACAGTCTGTAATGATAGAGATACTGAGGCTGCACTGAGGCTACACTGCTGGTAACATAGTCTGTAATGATAGAGATACTGAGGCTACACTGAGGCTACACTGCTGGTAACATAGTCTGTAATGATAGATATAATGAGGCTACACTGAGGCTACACTGCTGGTAACATAGTCTGTAATGATAGAGATACTGAGGCTACACTGAGGCTACACTGCTGGTAACATAGTCTGTAATGATAGAGATACTGAGGCTACACTGCTGGTAACATAGTCTGCAATGATACACCAATTGTTGTCTTAGGTTTTTTTTTTATAAACGGGTGCGCATAAAGTGATGAAAGAAACATCACACACAGATAACACTTAAGAATGTTTTTTTCCAATGAGGAAAGACCTTAAATTTTAAGGCTTCATAAAACAAAAATTAGGTCCCGATGTGTTTCCGTGCACCCATACAATTTATGTTTACAATGTTGATTTCAACACTTTAGGTTCTTATCTCTACATTTCTCTAAATTCCCAGTGTCCACCCCTGACTGTACACTTAGAATTTTAAACAATTTTCCAACCAATGGACTTTATCGTAAGACAAACTTTGTACAGTTTCATTTAGAATAAATCCTCGCTGAAGATATTTTGTAACTGGGCGACTTTCATTCTGTATTCGAAAATTTATTTCATGAATTAAAATTTTTTCCATAAGTCGTCTAAATTTTCAAACCTCAGTCCCCTAACAACACAGACGAGTCCTGAAAAGTTTGGTAATAGTTTTGGCTATTCTGAATTTGCATTTAAAAGTTATATTCATGATGTTATCTTTTGTCCGATCTGTTCAGAAAGCATCCCTCATTATACAAAGACGAACTGAATGTACTTTAAAATAAAAAATAAAATTTTGATACCGTCAGTAGCTCGGAAATTAAATTAAACCTGTTCAGCCGAAATTATTGGACCGACACATAGACAATGTGTTTCCTTACTACATAATGTAGAGTTTGATATAGCACATAAATAGATAATGATATCATTAAACATCAAATCATAGTTATTACCAACGCTTAATTCGAACACAGGATGAACATTTGATAAAATATATACTTACATGATGTACTCCTGTTTTTTGCATAACCCGAAATCACAGGTACGTCACGTATGACGGTAGGGGAATAATCATGATTGCGCAATCGACGAAAGATCAATATTGCCATTAAAACATATGGATGGTTATAGGACTCAATTAGCGCACCTGAACACACGACTGACCATGTATGAGAGTCGCTTGACCAATCACCTGTCTTCCTCAAGGAACTCTGGTCTCCCTCATAACCGTCTACCTACTTCTATTTCGACGAATACTAAAATTTAAAGTTTATAAATAAATTATCAAATGCCGTGTACACATATGTGTTTCCATATCATGCCATGCATACCGTTCAGGTGTATGACAGCTTTAGACAATACTCTGTCGATTGTCTTGTAGATAATCTCTGGATCTATAGGGAATGGTATACGGGTCCCTGTTCCTTGGCTCTCTAAAAATTCACTCTTCCTCAACGATATTCTTTCCCTGGACCAAGTGGGTAAATTTCCTTAGTGCTTCGGATAACCTGGACGTATTTTTATTATTCAAATATCGAAAATGCGAATGATAGCACGGTTCCTTGTGTTTTAATTTTTGTTCTGTGGCATTGTCCTCCACATAAACGATTAGTTTTTTCGTACTAGTTGAGGGGTGATTGTATCTGCAATGTACCAAGTCTCGTCATTCTATACAATTAATGCGACCAGGCTTTTTTGTTCCTTAGGTCAAGGAGACTTGAACCTAACCCACAGTTCATGTTTATATGTAATAAACTGTACACTTTATATGCAACTCCCCAGAACAGAAAACGGTAATGAATTGTTTAAACCATGATCCCACCAGTTTACAAAATGGACGGAAGAGAAACAGATTTTCATAAATGTTGCAGGTGTTTGTTATGTTGCTTTTGTTTCTTTGTTGCTGTTTTTGTTTGTTTGTTTGTTTTTGTTTTTGTTTTTGTTTTTTTTTTTTTTGTTTACTTTTTTTTCAAGTTTTTGTTTTGTTTTTGTTTTTATTTTCATTGCTCATCGTCAGTCAGAATCATTTAGGACCAATTGGCCGTAATTTGTCCTAGTATTGATTAAGTGTATGATAACGGATTAAAATGTCGATTATCCTAGAAAGCCATTTATTTGCTTTTCCTTGAGCACGATCACTCCGTCAGTATTAACAAACAGATAAATTAAGCTATCAGTGGACTTTATTCAAAACTTTATAAAGAGCTTGCAAAGTGTTTCTCGCAGGAAAGTCCAGTTCAGCAACTGAGATGTCCTTGGCATAAGATTTAAATGTTTTCTAAAATATATTTTTCTTGTGTTGGATGAATCTATTTCAGAAAACATACATATATCATATTTTATATGATCCGTGAAGTAATAGCAACAGTACGGACAAGTGAAATGTCAAATTTTCGAGGCAGCCTGCTCCTTTATCAAGACATACGTATTACATAAATTACATCACGTCACTTCGGTCGATGAACACTGAAGGGATTATTGAGACACCTAAATCTACACTACCGTTCTCTATCTTAGTTTATAGCTTTGTATCTGTTTTATGTTCTATGTATGTTATGTAATTAATGTACTATTTGTGTCTTGATGAAGGGGCAGATTGACTCGAAACTATTACAAAATTAACTTGTCTTTACCGTTGTTATTACTTCATTGATCATATAATTATTCCGGTAAAACGCATCACACGATAATGGAAGTGGATACAGATATTGGTGTTACCAAAGATCTGCTTAAGTTTGGTGAGTGATGCAGGCCCATGGGCCTTTTGTCCCCATAACTCGACTTACCTCCCTTTATGAGACGTGTATGATCTTGTTTCCAAAATAGAAAAAAATATGAACGATGTTTAATGCAATGATTTAAGCATAACCACATGCATATCTATTGCTGGAATAAAGATTGAATGAAGAACGGAATGGGTATTTTTTCTCAATAGAGTTAATCACATGTGCCAGTAATATTCCTGTAGATAAGTTATTACGTCATAACACGTGCGTTTGACGTGAGTATACATATGTCACATGACTAGATAATGTACGATATCGTTGAACTAGACATTGAGGTCACGTATAGAAACACATGTATAACAAATGTATACCTGATATATGTGCCTCGGGGACTCGTTCGTTTAGCGTTTCGACATGTTTGACACGATGAAAGGCAGATTTATTTCAAACGCATTGTAAATGAGTGTCTTTAGGGAAAATAACCATGACATACCCTGA